CATGTTTAATTTCTGTTTACACAGATATAAAACATATATTTAGAAGCAGCCTGGGAAATCCTTGGTTAAAGATGGATTTTGGCTTTTGAAAACACAGAGGTGAGTGACATTTGTATATTGTGTTATCAGAAGCGTGACAGATGTGGTTGACTGGGACCAGGTGCTTGACAGAATGCTGTTGGGGAGAAGTTGTAAACCTCTGGTTGACAAGCAAGGTGACAGCCAGTTCTTGTTAGTAGAAGCTTAGTTAGCATAAAGTGCCTTCCAGTTAAGGAGTTCCAGCAAACAGTTGAAAACCTTGGGGTACTGTGAATAAGAAACTCAGGATTGTTCAAAGGCACTGGTCTCTATTTAGCTCCTATACATTTGACTCATAAAATCAGATAAAAAGGGTGGGTGGGTGACAGCCAACAATTTTTAGCTAAACCTCAAAGATTAATAAAATTCATTAGATACTCAATTCTTTAGCCTTCCAGATTTACATAAACACTGGCATTTTCCTAATTGACGTATTTGACATGAGCGGATAACATTCCCTGATCTAAGTCACATTCAGTGCATACTGAATCTCAATCTTGAAATCTTTTAGTCATTGTTCAGGAAACAAAATGAGGATCAGAGAGAGACAAAACCAAGGAGTATCACTTTCTTTCCCCAGTCTCACCCTCTTGTGTTAATTCATCTAACAGGTCAGGTTTTGTTGGGTTGTTTTCTGAGAACCCCATCGTTTTGACCTTACCTAGTGTGAATGACTTTGCCTATTTTAGGGACCCCCACGGATTATTCATAGATTATTTAGGTCACATTTGTCTCACTTTAGTTGAGAACAGTTTATAAAGTTGGATTATTTCCTGTATGTTGATTGCAGGGTGAGGGCAAGAGATAGCATGCTGTTCAGGAGAACTACTACTACTTGGTAAGGGAGATGCCTTCATTTCCCTTTTATGTTATTTGTAGTTTTGCTTATAAGCAAGTGTTTTTCCATGTTTTACTGAAATCGACAGAAATGGCAGTTATGTGTTACCTCGGTGTTTTGACTTGAGTCCAGGCTGTGCAATGGGATTATTACAGTTGTCCCAGGAAATTTTATTGGACGTTTGCCATCATTTTGGTAATTCTTTGAGTTGGCTACACGGACTGATCTGTTTTCTCCAAAGACACAGACTTTGGTTCACTAATGCCCCTCTTGTTTATACTATCATGGAATATTGAGCTTAGAAGGAATGGCTGTTTATCAATCATAAATGGAAATATAAGATGAGGCTTTCAAGTCTGATACTAGGGAGTAATGTGAAGAAGCATTACTTTCTTCCAGCCTCTGCCCTCCATCTCCCCATCTCTCCTGGGTAGCTTCGATGAGGAGATACCATAGTAGTTGACATTCAGCGAGTGCTTCCTACAGGCTAGACATCCTTATATCTCCCTGACAAGAATTAACAGAGCCATCAAGGCAACCCCATTAGAGAGTTGCCTTTTAAAGAGGAGGAAATCAAGCCATGAATACCAGTGGCTATTGACCCTTCTAATCTTAATGGGCCCATGAATTTCCTGGGCTCATTTTCTCTAGGTCTTGGAAACTTCTGAACCCAAGCAGGGGACTCTAGTATGAAGAGTGAGAATCCCAGAGCTGACATGTGGTCAGTATTCTAAATGTTAAGACTGTGGTTGGTGGAACTTAGTAGGAATCCTCTTTTACTCTTAACTGAGGTTTGTGATTTTGACTGGTAAAATTTCCACGTGTTCTTTGAGTCCTTCCCACCATCTGAGCTTTCCTGGACGTTTGTCCTCATACCTCAGACCCCTCCCTGCTCTGGAACCTCTGTAGGACATGGTCAGTCACTGGTATGTGACTAGGCATAGCTCTAGCATTGGCTTTTTCTTTAACCAGAACCTGAAACTTCTTAGAAAATACATAGAATTTCAGTTACATTTCACATGACTCCGTGGGAGTCTAGTGCGTTGACTTTTCTGGAGTTTCTCCTTCGCGGCTTCCTGTGTGAACCTGCTCCGACTTGGGCAGGGCTGCCCTTCTACTATAACCTGTTTCTGAAGAGCACTCCATGTTTTAGTTTGTTTGTGCATTTCCCACAGCAACCCTGGATTCCTGGTGTGACACTGCAGGATAAACACTAGACTGCCAACTGCAAAGTCAGTGGTTCAAACCCACCAGCTGTTCCTCAGAAACCCTATACAGGGTCACTACGAATCGGACTCAGTGACACGTAACAACAGCAAGGGAGCTAAGAACATTGCTGCCGTTAGGTGCTGTTGAGTCAGTTCTGACTCATAGCGACCCTGTATAGGGTTTCCGAGGAGTGGCTGGTGAGCTTGAACCATTGATCTTGTGGTTCAAACCAACCTTGTAGTCTAGTGCATTAACCTGCAGTGCCACACAAGGACTCCTCTAGGAACCTTAGAACACTGTACAAATGGGCTTTAGTGACAACTCCAGTGAAATGCCCCACTGTAATCCACTGCTAATCTCAGAGCAGTAGGGAAGGACAAGCATGCCAAGGTGGGCTCTACTATAGAGGTGGCACTGTGGTTCTAATAGAGTCCGACTGCCAGGGTTTGAATCCAGCTTCCACCTTCAGCATCAAACAAGATGGAAAGGTTGAGCTTAACAGAGAGTCAGACGACAAGATTTAAATAAATAATAAGCTGTATTATCTGTACAAAAAAATATAAATACAGGCTTGTGTTTTAGAGGAGGAAGCGGCTCCTTCCACATTACTCAGCAAACCCCAAATAATCTTGTGGCGGTGCTGGGTCACAATTCACAGGACAAACAGTAAATGTACATTCATTCCATGCAAGGAGCACATAGCTTGCCACACCAGACCGAGGCTTGCCAGCACCCTCTGAAGACCCCCAGACACCGCCGAGCTGGTGGGCACCTCCAACTGAGGAGACGTAAATATTGTCCACTGGCTTTCAACAGCTGTTGAACTAGAAATAATGAACCACATTAGGAGGAGTATGGGATCTGCCATCTTCATTCCATGCAGACCTGTGTGTCACAAATGAAATCTTTTTTGCCTTCCACATCCCCTGTGAGCGTTTACAATGTATGCTGTATACAGTGAGTGGAGCCAAAGTGAAACACCAGGTTCTATTAAAAATAGGAAAAAAATACAATCACCACCACTGAATTTACAGGAGTACAACTACAGGAAGTTCATAAAAAGTCCCCAAATCTTTTTATTTTGGATAACAATGTATAATTAGTAATATTGCACTTCTTTTTTTATACAAGAAATCCTAATAAATATTCACAAGAGATATACAGACATAGAAAACATTCTCTTTTATTTTAAATAAACATTACATTGATTTTTTTTTTTTAGTAACATGATATCTTGGAACCCATTTTTGTGAAGAGGAAGAAGAGAGAGGCCCACCCTGATTCTCCATAGCTTACCAGGGGAGGTCACAGCTTAACACTGTCAACCCCCAAAAACTTACGTGCAGGCTGGCTGGTGAATGTGGCCCCTGGGTGAGTAGCATTTCACGAGTGTGTATGTGAGGGGGTGGTTTCGTTTAGGGGGCAGTGACTTGGGCTACTGACCCATGGTCACTTTCTCCTACCCACTGCTGGTGGGTTGATTCTGACTTACAGGGCAGGGGAGAAACCGCCCCACAGGGTTTCCTAGGCTGTCATCTATTGTGTCACTATATACTTGTATATACTCTGATATATCATCCACTCACAGCGCCCCCTGGTGTAACAGAGGAGAACTGCGCCACAGGGTTTCCAAGGCTGTAAATGTTTACAGAAGCAGACGGCCACATCTTTCTGGTCATGCCCCGGGGGGGTGGGGGTGGGGGGAACCTCTCATCCAAAGCTGCTCTGCTGAATGAGCAGTTGGCCAGATAGTCTCCAGTTGTTGGTCTTACCACTTGACTTAGTTACTGGTGCTTGACCATCGCTGATGTCAAAGTAAGTATGTGTGCATCTTGGCCTGCTGAGTTATGGTGTCACGGAAACTGGTATTATGATTCTAAAGTTTATAACAACTTGCTGCATGTGACTCTGCCCACAGCCCCTCATCACTTGCTCTGACCTGCTCTGTAAGGACAAGGTCAGCTAGCCTAGCCAGTGCTCACACTGGACTGCTGGAGGGACAGCTGACCAGGTGGCTGAGTGCTCACACCCACTGGGGAATGAAGTGCTTGCTACAATCAAGGAAGACTCTGACAAATGGAGCAGCAAAGGCCATCTAAGCAGAAAGCCTGGCCTATTCTTCATGCTGAAAGAGGCCTATGGGCCACAGCAGCAGACCTTCCAGGCTGGGAGGTCTTGATCTAGACAGAGAGATGCCAGGACCGGTCTTACTGTGCACCAGAGCTAACCTCCATCAGACAGTGCGGTAATGGTGGTGGTGGTGAGGGGTACAGGGCCTCCCCTCCTACAAGGACATGTCTCCTACCACACAGTGGCCCCCAGGGTCTAGTCTTCAGCAAAGCTCCATCTGAAGGCCCCTTCCACCAACCAGCTCACTCTCTCTCCTCTCTCCACCTTCTGTTGATGAACTTACACAGGCTTCTGTTTTGGTTCTAGTCCCTTTCCCTGTCTACTTTACTTTCTGCATCCTGGTGAGCTGGAGTTCTATTCTCTGTATCCCCTACGAGGAGAGCTGAGTCCTGTCCTCCTCTCTCTTACCTTGTCCCTGTCATGTCTGAGGGGGACACAGGAACACACACTCCTGCATTAACAGAAAGCTTCCAGGAGCTTTTGTACCACTCCCTCACACATCCTTCTAGTCTACTACTGGCCTCTGGCTCCCTCTGGGGCTGGGGCTATGCCTGCCTCTTCCTAGGTCCCTTGGAACCTGGGTTGGGAGGCAGCTCCTGCTGTCTGACCTACTCTGCCACCTCCTTAGACCTCTGTCCTTTTCTAACTGAAGGAAAAAACCCAACTTTCTGAGGTCCTCATGATTGGGGGGTAGGGGCGGGAGGGAGAAATAAATAAATTAGAACAAAGAAAGCTTAAGTTCTGTCCAATGGGATTGCGTGAGTCCTTAGTGTAGCCAGGGCAGCATTCTTCCCCACGCCCTGTCTTCAAGCTTTGCCACAAGTTCCACAGCAGCGAGATTTGTACTGGCTGAGTTGGCAGAGTTTCAGCTGTTTCACCTTCTCGCAGTACCTGGTAGTATCTCTGCACTCTACTGGGAAAGGGGACAGAAAGGAGATGTGAAACCGAGGCTAAAGGATGTGGCCAACTTCTGGGAAGGCAGAGCTCAGCCACTTGCCCCCCGAGGCCTGCTAGCAATGGAGGCAACACCCGACTGGCCTCTGCTTCCTTTCCTAATCACTCATTCTATTTCCAGGTTGATGTTTGGTTCCTAGGTAAGCCTGTCTCTTCCCATGGCACCCAGAAATCCCAGCTTCTGCTCCATTGGAGGTAGTGTACAAGTCAGACCTTGCTTGGGTGTCCTCATCCTCAGGAGCTTGAACCTTTCTTGTTGTCATTTTCCTGTATTAGCCACCTAAGCCTCTTTACTCCTTCCCCACCCTACCTTGCTAGGATACCACAACACTCTAATTCAGAACTGACACAGACTTGGCGGTTCTCAAATATTCACGCAAAAGCTGTGATTGCCATAAGTCTTAGCTGCTTTCATGGAACACTGGCACTCAAGTGTGGTGAGTTACTGCCACAAAGACGATCCATCCTCATCCTCTGGAATGTAAACAAGCGGGTCTACTGGACTACAGGGCATCTGATTAATGATTGCTCCATGAGGGGCCCATCTTAGGGGATGCTGTACTGCCTTCATATGTTTTTAATTTCTTATTTATTCTCTGTCTCATGCTTTGTCATCTTCCTTGTAGGAAAACACCTCCAATTTGTGTTTTGGTTCCAGAGGAAAACAAATAGATCCCCACCTAACTGGGGTCACACATGCCCGTGTTGGATGGGGTGGGAGGCGAAGGTTATCAAGGCCCATGGGTGTGGGCTCCTGCACCATTTCAATGGATGCCTGTGGGCTGGGAAGGAGAGAGCAGCCAGCAGAGCAGTTATGAGTGAGCTGGGCCACTCAGCCTGCTTCTTCCCTGGGGACAACACTTTCTCATTAGCCTGGCTGCAAGAGCCATCTTTCAGTTCTCCCTTCTGAGCACTGGGCCAGTAACTCCCAGCTGTCTCAGGGCCAGATGGAGAACGTGGAAGCCCTTGGGCACACCCAGCTATTGTTTGTGGCCTGGATACATGGCCATACTTGCACACATGCTTACTCAGACCCAGCTGACAATCCTTGGGAACCCTGATCCAGTGCCCTATGCCCTCTGTACCTGATGCCCTGTGGGGTATTTGCAGAAGGGTCTTTGGGATTGGAACATACTGTTTTCACATGGGGTGATGTTGCAACGCTGCCAGTTGGCGGGCCGGGGGCCCCAGGAGCACAGGTGCTCAGGCACTGCCTTGTTGGTGCGAACATGCACACACTCTACACGCCGTGACTGGAAGCCGTAGTTACCACAGGTCGCAGTGCACAGGGTCCACAGGCTGACCCTCCAGTGAACGCTGCAGGCCTCAGACCAGCAGTTCTGGGTACTCACGGGCCTGTAGGAGAAGGAGAGGGAGATGGGAAGATAATGCTGTAAACGTCAGCATGGTGGGCAACTCCCCAAGAACTCGCAGTGCTGCGGAGGTGGCCTGGGCTCTGCTGCTCTGCTGGTGAACGGCTAGAAGACCTCGAGGTGCCCATGTCCTCTAACTGTGCCTCCCCATCTGCTCCTGGCTCACAAGGTCTGTGGCACTTCGTGACCTGAGAATGCATTCTACCCAGAGCAGACGTTGCAGAGGTTGAACCTGATTTCACGTGCTGGACAGGAAAGACAGCTTGAGACCCCAACTTCTAAAGGGAGGGCATTAAGCGTAAGGGACTGGTGGCCCTCTCCTTGTGTTCACTAGGACTAAGGCAGCTCTCTGTGTTCTCAGGCCTCCTTCAGGACCACCACCTCCTGCACTCATGATTTGGCAAGTACAAGGCCATCACTGAGTCCCCTATTGCTGGGGAGGCCAGGGGCCCTGGTGAGCAGAGGTGAGAGAGAGCAGGGTACTGGACAGATGGGAGACTGGGGAGGACATAGTCTTCTACTCCTGTCTTTGTGCCCTGTTGCCACAGGGGCTGGTACAGGGTGGTCCAGGGTGTCTCTTACCTTGGCAGGGCGCTGCACTGCTCCGACAGTAAGGTGATGCCATCCCGAGTCTGGCAGAAGACCTGCCTGTGCTGCACGGCTAAGTGAGGCCCAATGCATGGCCCATTGCACTGGGGACAAAGAAAAACACATCTATGAGCAGAAACAGGCAAGGTCAGAACCCCTTTTGCAGCGTCCTTGGGTGCAGGCTACAATGGCCAGGCTGTAGAACGTAGGAAAGATCCTCGTGCAGGTCTCCTCGGAAGCCCTCGGGTCATTCGTCCTTCCCTCTTTAGGCCAATACAGGGCACTCACGCGCATTTTCTCTTCTTTGCACCACAGTGGAACTGCTCACATTGCTGTGGTAGACACGGCTAAGAATGGAGCCCGGCAAAGAATTTCAGGCCCTTCCAGACTGACCATTTGAAAAGGCCTCAGAGCAGAACATCCCAGGAATGTTATGGTAGATTTAGATTAACCTTCTTCCTCCCCTTTATTCTGGAGGATGGTTTGGTTTATTGTTTTCTTGCTAAATCCACCCAAGTAACCCAAGTTCATTTCTTTCTTTCCCTGGCTTAATTTTCTCCCCGTTAAACCCAGGACAGCTGAGTAAAAGCAGACGTGGGAGCCATCCCTCCTCATAGTCTCTTGTCTGCTCGTGGAGGTGATTATGTGTTGCCCAGAGTTCAGCAGTGCCAATACCTCCAACAACAACTAGGTCCGGGGAATGCAAAAGCAGCAGGTTCTTCGCCAAGCTCTGCTATTTTACAGCAGAGGAGATGGTCACTTTGGAGCAGAGACTTGTTAACTTGGGAGTCCTCAGACTAAGGGTTTAGAGATGGGATCAGGGCTAACTCTTACAAAATCACAAGCAGAAATATGAAATCTTTCAATTCTTGTATGTACTGGTATGTTTTAGAAACAAGCTCCAACTTTTGTCAAATGCTCAAAGGTGTCCCTCACAAAGGTTGAAAAACTGAGCTTCCGGTTCCGGGCTACAGCCAGGAGAGTCAGGTAGGGAAAGCTCCGGTGAGAAGGGAGGGGGAGCTCACAAAGGAAATGTTCATATACCAGACCCACGGCTTTTGAACTATCATAAGAGCTAGTATTTCGGTCTCCTGAACTCGCATTTTTGAGAAATCATGCTGCTAAGGGAAAACCGGGCATTTTGGAACTCTCGCCTATGGGATGGCAGGACTCCGACTGCAGAGATTAGAGGGTGGGGCTAAGGCCAGCCCATTCAGAAAGTGGTGTTTCCAGCAGGAAGAAAAAAAAGGGAACCTGAACAAACACAGCTGCAAGAAACTACATAAATCTCCCCCCAAATCTCCCTGCCCTAGCTTAAGATCTCAGCATGAGCATCAGGCAGGTCAGTTTACCCACGGCACAGAGAGAGGGAGAGAAGTGGCGACTTTTGACGTCATCTGCTGTCCCCAATCTGAAGCCCTGCATCTAAGCAGCCCTGCCCTACTCCCAGGTAGCAGTGGGGATCTTCCAGCTCTACTGTTCTGGCGGGATAGGGAACAGATTAAAAACTCCAGCTACCCACGGCTGCCTGAGTTCACTGGGCAGGACAAACTCAAGGAAACCTGTAAAAACCCAACAGAACAGGTCTCAAGCATCCCAAGATTGATGCCGAGCACAGGCAGATAACTGACAACCAGAAACAAAAATAGTGGTCGATCTTTCTCCCATTAATTCTCCAATATGTATCTGTCCACCTATACGGCAGTGGCTAGAGGAGACACCTGAAAGGGGTCACCCCTACCAGTGCTGGAGGCTTCTATTTGCACACACACTGATAGTGTAGCATGAAAAAGTTAACCAAAGCTGCATCTCCGCTTCAAAATGGTGATTTCTGTCCAGGCATTTATATTACTTCTGCTTTTGGTCCTTTTGATCACACATCTTTCCTGGAGGTGGGAGCTTTTCCTCCCTACGTCATCTAAGAAGCAGCAGCAAGCGTGGCCATATAGCCAAGTTATAAGCATACACCATAATACTCCACCACTAAGACAAGACCTAACAACACCTGCTACACATTACAGATGATAAGGGAAGCCTATCTCCTGATCATATTAATAATAAAATAACCATGACTAATAAGAAACAATCAACTTTATCAAAACACGTCCAAAAACAGAAGACAGCAGCAGATACAAATAAGCTGGAGACACACAAAGGCTTTATAGAGGAGGAGGAGTGGGTTCTGGATATGCTTGAGAGGGAATTCAGAAGAATGATATAGAAACAAATTCAAATACTCTGAAAAGGGGTCGAGGAAGAAGTAAGGAAAGTACTGCAGGAACAATCAAATAGGATTGACACAGCATTGGAAACAATTCAAAACCTGCAAAAAGATGTCCAGGTGATCAATAATAAGATATCAGAAATAGACAATAGGCTGAAAGGGGAAAGGAGCAGACTTAGAAGAGATGGAAGCCAGAACTAGTGTACTGGAAGACAAATCTCTCAATACTGCCAAGGTAGAAGAGCAAGCAGCTAAAAGGATAAAATAATCTGAAGAGAGGCTAAGATTCATGCTGGATAACATGAAGAGGAATAATGTAAGAATTATTGGCATTCTGGAACAAGAAGCAGCAGAGAAGTCCACAGAGGAGATAGTTGAAGAGCTTCTGGAAGAAAATTTCCCTAACATCTTGAAAGACGAGAAGATAAACATTCAAGAAGCCCAACATACTCCAGGAAGGATAAGTCTCCAAGATATATAATAATCAAGCTCTCCAAAATCAAAGACAAGGAAAGAATACTAAAAGTGGCCAGGGAGAAGATAAATATAACTTAAAAAGGCAAGCAAATTAGATTAATTTCTGACTACACTATTCAGAACAAACCATGCAGGTGAGAAGGCAATGGGGAGACATCATATACAAAGCCCTGCAAGAAAAAAACTGTCAACTAAGAATCGTCTATCCAGCAAAACTATCAATCAATTTCATGGTGCGATCAAACCCAGCACTTCAAAACATCCTAAAAGGAGTTCTGTGGACAGAGAACCAATAAGAACAGACAACAAATAGAGATTGGCAGGTATGGCAACACCACCTGGAACACAGCCAACAGATAACAGAGTCCAGAACAGAACGAGACTACAACAACAAACTCAAAGGAACGGGGAGATCAACTGAAGGCCAAAAACATATCAATGTCAAAGAAGGGACAAACGCCGCAATGGAAGCCCAGCTGGTGGGGATGCCAGGTAAATTACAGGTTACAGTGGAAGTATTCTAAATGCAGAGAAAAGTTACACTACAAAGTAACCCCAAAGAAAGTTAACACTCCATAACATATCATAAAAATAAATTCCCAAGCAGAACAAGCGAACAGAAAAACTAGGCAGAAACCGTCCAGAAACAACTCAAAGAACATAAATCCAACACAAGAAGGAAAGCAGAACCAAAGAATGAACAGCACCACCAAAAAAGTAACATAATGACAGCAATCAATTCATACTTATCAATAGTTACATTGTATGTCAATGGATTGAATGCACCAGTGAAGAGACAAAGAGTGGCAGAATGGATAAGAAAACAAGATCCATCAATATGCTGCCTGCAAGAGACACACCTTAAACACAAAGACAAAAACAGACTAAAAGTTAAAGGATGGAAAAAATTTACCAAGCCAATGGCAGGAGTGGCAATACTAATCTCCGACAAAGTAGACTTTAAGATAAAAACCAGCATAAGAGGCAAAGAAAGACACTATCTCATGATCAGAGGGTCAATTGAGCAAGACAGCATAACCATAATAAACATACATGCTCCCAATGAAAGAGCACCAAGATATACATGAAGCAAACCTTAATGGAATTGAAGAAAGATAAATCCACAATTATAGTGGGAGATTTCAACACAATACTCTTGAAAAGGGATAGAACAACCAGAAAGAAACTCGACAATACTACAGAGGAACTTAACAACACAATCAACCAACTTGACCTCATAGATGTATACAGAGCATTCTATCCAACAACAGCACAATACACATTCTTCTCCAGTGCGCATGGAACATTTTCCAGAATTGACCATGTGTTAGGTCACAAAGCAAGCCTCCATAAATTCACAACCATCAAAATTCTACAGAGCATCTTCTCAGACCACAATGCTATAAAACTAGAGATCAACAATAAGGCCAAAACAATAAAGTCGAATACATGGAAACTGAACAACACCCTACTAAAAAGCGACTGGGTAAAAGAAGAAATTAAACATGAATTCACAAAGTTCCTAGAAACGAATGAAAACACAACATACCAAAATCTTTGGGACATGGCAAAAGCAGTCCTGAGAGGACAATTTATTGTGATAAATACACACATCCAAAAAGACGAAAGAGCCAAAATCAACACATTAACACAACATCTTCAACAATTAGACACAGACCAGCAGAGGGAACCTACAGTCACCAAAAGAAGGGAAATAATAAAGAGCAGAAATAAATGAGATATAAAACAGAAAAACTATAGAAAGAATCAACAGGACAAGAAGCTGATTCTTTGAAAGGATTAATAAAATTGACAAACCATTGGCAAAACTAACTAAAGAAAAGAGGGAGAGAAATAAATTGCATTAGAAACCACATAGGGGGAAATCACAACAGAACCAAACGAAATAAAAAAGATAATAACAGAATACTACAAAGAGCTGTATGTACTCCAACAAATTTGAAAATTTGGATGAGATGGATACATTTCTAGAAAAACACGACCTACCTAAACTTACTCAGACTGAAGTAGAAAATTTGAACAAACCCATAACAAAAGAAGAAATTAACCAGGTCATCAAAAAACTCCCGACCAACAAAAGCCCAGGCCCAGATGGCCTCATAGGTGAGTTCTACCAAACATTCAGAGAAGAACTGTCACCAATTCTACTCAAATTATTCCAGAACATAGAAGAGGATGGAAAACTCCCTAATACTTTTTATGAAGCAAGCATAACCCTCATACCAAAACTAGGAAAGGACATCACTAAGAAAGAAAACTATAGACCAATATCCCTCATGAACATAGATGCAAAAATTCTCAACAAAATCCTAGCCAACAGAATCCAACAGCACATCAAAAAAATAATACATCATGACCAACTGGGTTTCATAAAAGGAATGCAAGGATGGTTCAACATCAGGAAAATAATCAGTGTAATCCATCATATAAATAAGAAAAAGGAAAAGAACCATATGATGTCGATTGATGTAGAAAAGGCATTTACAAAATCCAACATCCATTCCTGATAAAAACACTCAACAAAATAGGAATTGAAGGGAAATTCCTCAACATAATCAAGCATATATACAAAACCAAGAGCCTACATCATGCTCAATGGAGAGAAACTGAAAGCCTTCCCCCTGCAAACAGGAACCAGACAAGGATGCCCTTTATCACCGCTCCTATTCAATATTGTGCTGGAAGTTTTAGCCAGAGCTATTCGGCATGACAAAGAAATTAAAGGCATCCAAATTGGCAAAGAGGAAGTAAAACTCTCCTTATTTGCAGACGATCTGATCCTATACATAGAAAACCCCAAAGACTCTATATTATATTAGACCTCATAGAAAGATTCAGAGAAGTGGCAGGGTATAAGATTAACATACAAAAATCAATTGGATTTCTCTATAGCAACAGCAATAGCGATGAAAAGGACATTAGGAAAGCAATACCATTTACAATAGCCACGCAAAGGATGAAATACTTAGGAATAAACATAACCAGAGAAACAAAAGACTTATACAAAGAAAACTACAAAGCCCTACTACAAGAAACCGAAAAAGATCTACAGAAGTGGAAGAACATACCATGTTCCAGGATAGGAAGACTCAACATTGTGAAAATGTCAATACTACCCAGAGCAAAGGTTGAAAAACCACTGAAAGAGAAGGATTTTGGGTGAAACTCGTTCTCTGAAGGCAGGCAACTATGCCCACAGCCAGCTCCTCTGAAGCGTCCAGCTTGATGCCATGTTGCACGGCATCACAGGGCATTGGGGGAAATGCAAGTGCTGCTCTGCCCAATGTCTTTTGGACTCACTTCAGTGCTCACCTGTCCCTGTCCTTTGTAGGAACTGCCTGCCAGTCAAGTTTCAGAAGTCAATGCTTAATCTGTATCTTGTTTGTACATTCTGATGCATTTTAATAACATTGACTATGTCAGTCTTTTGAATACACTTTGCAAGTTTTTCTCCTCTTCCCATAGTCTAGTGTTCCCAGATTCTGTTTGCTGCCTTTTCTTTGTTTCATTCTTTCCTCTCCACCTGGGTGATACCTCCCCGCCCCTGACTCCTGGCCACCACTTATATCCCGATGACTTTCAACTTGATAATGTCTAGCACAACTCTCTTTTAAGCCCCAAATCTATATACTCAGTTGCTCAGGGAACATCTAACAGCGGTGTGAGGGTATGGTACCAGACCCTCATGTTCAACATGTCCAGAATAATCTATTGTATTAACTACTACCTAGTTGTTGTTTCCAGAAACCACCCAGAAACAACATCTTGGCTTCTTCCCTCTTTCATTCCTGATACACTCGGAAGCTCCTGGCATCATCACACTTCCATGGGTGCTCCACTTCCACTGTCTGTATTCTGACCAGCACCCACCCTTTCTCACCCAGATTAGGTTTTCATTCTCCAGTTCTGTCCCTTCCTCATTTAGTAACTCTGGCCACACCACAGCTGTGTCAGAAGTTTCCCGGGCACCCCCTGCCCTCTAAAGCAAGTGGCATTTCTCATAAAACCAACTCTTCGTACAGCATGCAGAATTCTACGTGACTGTCTGCAGCCACATTGCTGGTTCCACTCTCATTGAATTATTTTGCAGCTATGCTGCAGCTCATTTTGACTTCACTCTTTCATACCCAAGACATTTAAAATTCAACTCACCGCCAGAGTTAATTCCAACTCAGAGTGAATCTGTAGGAGAGGCAAGCTGCCCCCTAGTTTCTGAGACAGCAACTCTTTACTGGAGTGGGCAGCCTTGTCTTTCTCCTGTGGAGTAGTTGGTGTCAGCCTAATGCTAAATCCACTGTGCCACCCACCATAGCTCCGTCACCCAAGACACACACTCCAACCAAACTCAATGCCATTACGTCAGTTCAGAATCATAGCGACCCGAGGCTGTCGATCTTTATGGGAAGAGGAAGCCTCATCTCTCTCCTGTGGAATTTCTGGTGGGTTTGAATTGCTGCAGTTAGAAATCCAGTGCTTATCCTACAGCACCACACCAACGCTCTTCCCCCAGGATAGGTGCCCCATAAATATATGCTGGGTTAAACAAAGGAGGTTGAGTTATTACATGAAGTCAGGTTGTTATAGCTGAGAAGGTAGACTTAGTTCTACTTGTAGTAAAATCAGCATGTTTTTCCAAAGACTTCATGGAGTTAGGTAGATGGAGAAACAGATTCCTGCACTACCAGACTGTGATGGCTTGCAGGTTGCTGGAAGCTATGTCACTAGTATATCAAATAGCAGTAGGGTCACCCATGGTAGACTGGTTTCAGTAGAGCTTCTGAAAATTAGCCAATGAAAACCTTAGGGATCACAACAGAATACTGTTCAATAGAGTGCTAGAAGATGCACCCTCTGGGTTGGAAAGCACCACACACAATAGCTGCAACAACGATGAGAACATACCAATCACCATTAAGATGGTGCCATCTTTAGTCTCACAGAAGAACGTGGAAATTTCTAGGCACCTAGAGTTTGAAGCAACCTCTAACAATGTCACCAAATGGATGGAAGTTTGAGATCAAGCAGTTCCTTATTTATAACGTTTCAAATAACTAAGACCTTAAATACCTGGGAAGTAGGAGCTCATTCCAGGTGCTACTCTTAACTGGTCTATAGACCAGTAATATTGGCATCACATGGGCTGTTAACACCTTAGTATCCTAGGCCAAACCCCAGACCTACTGGATCAATTTGCATTTCCAACAAGACTCCCAGATAATTCACATTAAAGTTTGAAACTTACTGGCCTAGTGGGTTACATAGACCATTTGAAGAGAAGGAAACAAGAAAGCTCTATTTATCTCTGATGGGAAAAATGATCACTGAGAACTATCAATGTGCAGCAAATGTCCCCCTTGAGCAACCTCAATGACACAATGCAAAAACATGTGTAGCCGTGTCTGTTCCCAGTTGTCATTTCATAAACCCTCAATTAGCTTTGAGGGTCTGGAAGCAGACCTGCCTTGGGCTGAAGAGAGCTATCAGAAGTGGGCTTTCCCAGGTAAGAGAAACATGATATTCCCCAGGCATGGCAGCAAGCAGAGTTCATGCCTCTTTGATTATGTAGCACATACATCATGTCACATACATCATGTCACTGGAAGTACGGTGGTATTGGTGGGGGCGCCGGACAGGAGCCCGGAGCCAGCCATGCTGACTGGTCAGTATTGAGCTCTTGCCCTAGCCTCACCTGGGACAATGAATGCCCTCTGAGTGACCAGTGAACTGTGGCCACATTTCCTCCAAATTACATTGGATTTTCATTACAGAGGGCCACAGCATGCTAACTTAATAGGAACTTTCCAAAGAACACAGCTGGGAGTGGAGGACATTCAGGCATCCCTAGATAGTTGCAATGGGTTAACTGCCCCAGAACTTCCAGTCACAGGTGTTCAGTCCCCTTTCCTCCTTCCCAACCAGCTGGTCAAGCCTAATGGTATATGGTGCAAACACTGATTAATCAGAACACATGTTCTGCCCTGGATAAGCTAAGTACCAGTCCTGGCAGGTTTTGACATAGACTTTGGGAGAAAGCATTCGCAGGTAACACCTCCACACCTGATTTTGGTGCCATCATGGATTCCAAATGGGGGAGGGTCAGTCATTCTTTGTCTAGATACAGGCCTTAGCTATGTGGGCTGGAAAACACCGAGGCCTCTGACAAGCAGCCTGACTGCTCCAGGCCTGGTGGAACTGGGAACCTATGAGAGAGCAACCCTGAGGCACTCCCGGCAGGCCCCGCCCACCTACTCTGCCCTGTCCAGATGATTGAGAAAGGACCCCTGACAGAGTTTGGGGGCTCTTACTGCTCAGGTTTGGTCTTCCTCACAGAACATTTTCAGTTTGCGTGCATCTCCCTTACTATTTTTAGTAAAATCTAAAAATACAATTTCCAAATGGAGAGAGTATACCAGCAAGCCCAGTGAGGGATGAGCCTCAGTTTGTTATTGCGCTTTTGTTGTTTCTATCTGGCAGAGAATCGAGGAAGGAAGGAGCTGATGGTTTCAAAGTGTCCAGCTTGACTTCAACAATCCTTGACTGATTGGGAATTCTGGCTCTCCACCCTGACTGCATAGCGGAATCCCTTGGGGAGCTTCTAAAATTCACCCATACTTGGATCCCACCCAGGCCAAGTCACTCAGAAACTTGGGGAAGTGAGGTAAACCTGGAAATTGGTGTTTTAAAAAAGTTTCTCCAGTGATTCTAATGGTACAACTGAGTTGAGAACCACCAGGGCACAGAATATAACCCAGGTGTGTCTCATCAGTGCCAACATCTCCAGAGACAAAGGCAGTGGATATGAGGAGAGAGGGTCTCAGGGTAGAGGGAAACCAAGGAAGAAGACTGTAAGATGCGCTGATGTCGGGGGAGGGTACCAGCAGTCTGGGTGTTAGGGATGACACTGGGTTAGTTGGAAGACAGGAGGGTGAAAGGCCAGTCCTCACAAGGGGAGTAGAAGAGGGGTCAGTGGGACATTTTACTGTGAGCTGTAGGAGACTTTTAGCTTTACCTTCCAAACAAAAGCATTTCTGGCCCCTTACCTGGCCCCAGCTGGAGAAGGCCCACTCCACACAGAGCTGTTGGTTACATGCCTGGGTATCCACAGGCCGTTTGGCAAGCTGGATGCACATGTCATTGGGCACGGGAGTGGAGATCCCAGAAGCCTTCAGCTTCTGACAGGTCACTCGGCGCGTCTGGACGCCTCCCCCGCAGCTCCGGGTGCAGGCAGACCAAGAGGTCACCATCCATCTGGGGAGAGGAGGAATTGTCAGACCTTGAAGTGAGACATGTTGTCATACCCTCCCAGAGAGTGCCCCTCAGACCCCTCCTGCCCCGCAGTGGCTAATTTGGGGGGCCATGGTTCCACCAAAGACATTCATGTCAAATCCCTGGAACCTGTGAATGTTAGCTTATTTAGAGAAAGGGTCTTTGCAAATGTATTACAATGTTGAGCTGATATTATCCAGGTGGGCCCTCAGTGGCATCACAAGAATCCTTGTAAGGGAAAGGGAAAGGCAAAGGGAGATTTGACAGGAAGAGACAATGTGAGTCTGGAGGTAGGGAGAGGAACAGATGTGGCCCCATGTTTTAAGGTATGCCGGCAGCCACCAGGAGGAGAAGGAAGGAAGGAAGGAATGGATTCTTCCCTAGAACCTTTGGTGGGAGTGTGACCTGCTGACACCCTGATTTCAGAATTCTGGACTCTAGAACTGTGAGAATAAATTTCTGTTGTTTTAAGCTATCATGTTTACTGTAATTTGTTATGGCAGCCCCAGGAAATGAATATACTTAGAAAATGGACCGGAATGGTGCATTTTGAAAGAGTATTCTGAGGTCAGTACTCCAGCTGGACAATGACCCAGAGGGCCATGAGACCAGACAGAACACCTATTTACTGGAGAGTGCCTTCAGCTAGTTTCCATGAACTACATACACATGGGGATTCTAGAAGTTCCTTCATGAGGTAAAGAGAAGGCAATCAGGTTTTATAATGCCATGTTTTGTCTGGGAGCACCCACTGTACCTCTTAACTTACATATCATTCAACTTGGTTTCATCTTCAGAAAAATACAAAATTCTTTCGACCTTTCTGGGGACTATTCCACCTTCTGGGTCATAGTTTTATAGGTCTTAGGCCTTGTAGTGAGCTGTATATGAGTCCGTGGTACGAGCAGTTGCAACTATAACTTAGATGGAACTCAGAGATGAGACTGACTAGACTTTTATCATAAGGCAAAGCTGTGAGCTGGAAAACCACTCTGAAAACCTGGGTCCACCAGGAAATAGGCAAGGATCCTTTCTGCATGAGGGGCTCCGGGGGGGGGGGGTAATTCTCAAAGAGGACCACAAGGGGACATAATGGGGGAAATTGTGAGGAATGACTTGGTGCTTCTTAGACTCTTCATTCACTCTAGAATGAAAATAATTAGGTTTTATTGCCTTGTTAAGTGCTGCTGAGACAGTTTCTAAAGAGCAGCTTTGAACCATAGACCTGGAAGTTAGCAGTCCAGTGCTTATTCTATAGCACTATACCAGGACTCCTATACATAAGTAATGTGAAATGGTTGAAATAGCTACACAGGGTCGATTTTAGAAAGATTGACCAAGGCCATAGTGCTGTGTGTGAAGGAAGAGGCTAATGTGCTTACAACACCCGGCAGGAAAGCCTGTGACCACTTCCCAGTGGCGCCACATCTGGCTCTCAGGAGAGGCACGCAGCAAGGAAGGGGAGCCAATGCCTCCTGAATCTGAACCTGTGATTTCCTGCTCCATTTGCCCTGGAGAGAGAGGGCTGCTTGCAGAGTTCCAGCCCTCAGAAGCAGAGCCCCTTAGGAAGCAGACAGGAGGTGTGTAGACACTCCCGGGGAGACTGAAACTCCAGCAGACAGATCCATTAGGATTTCATTTACAGAAGTAAATGCAGCGGATTGACTCTGACCATCACCAAATGAAATCACAACGTTCCTGGCACGTCGGAGATCACTTCTTCATTTCATACAGCTTGGCAAGGGCAGGTTTCCAGCCTCTCAGATCCCTGGTGAATGTCAGACCTGTATTTCAATCAACTTTTATTTCTAAATATACATTTCAGCAATTTTTTAGGAGCTGGGATAGGGGGTTTGAGAAAGGAGAGGCAGGGGCTATGTTACAGTTCAGGAAGGGTATAAAAGGACATTAATCATGCCCGTGGAAACCTTCCCGTCAGCAAGTCAAACTGCCGATATTAATGAGCATGTTTCATATTTCATTGAGTCTCTCCTGGTTACGGCTGCTCCTTTTGACTCAGCTGGCAAAGCACAAAGTGGTTGCCTAAAGAGTGTATGAAAGCCCTGCAGGTATGTAGTAGCTCGGCGTTGCAGGGCTGAGCCAAGGCCCAGCAGGCTGAGGGCACCATGCTGGTGCCAACTCCAGGCCCATCCATTATCCCTTTAGCTCCTGCTGCAGACAGGTTGGGTGCTCAGTGGGCCTCAGCTTCTCTATGCATGAGGGCGGAATACGCGGCAGCAATTGCAGCACCGTTATGTACTATCCAAGGGACCCCAGTGCAAAAAACAAGTACCCAAAGTGGAAGGAACTATAGGACATGGAGATGTATCCCACTGATAGCTGGATGCAAAACTTTGTACAAAGACAGAGGATAAGAGTTCCCTAACTTAACTGTATACTGTTGCACATGGGTATTAAGATTAAGAAGGGGAGAAACTAGAGTAGAGCCCAGGTTCTCAGAGTATTTCCCAGTTTATAGCTTTAGAAATAAAGCCCATTTGCCAGTCTTGGCCAGTGTCTGAGAACTGTTTGCAACATGTACTCTTATGTAACCTTCTACAAGGTCTGAGACCTAGAAAACTAGGACCCAAGGAAGTGGGAACTTGTTAAGTGGTATCGAGTTGGTTCCAACTCATAGCGACTCTGTAAAGGGTATCCAAGGAGCAGCTGATGAGTCTGGACCACCAATCAGGCAATTCACACCGACCTCTTGGTATAGTGCTTTATCCAACAGGACTCCCAGGGAAATGGCATCAGCCCCCAGAAAGTTGAAAGAGTTGTATACGTTTCTGAGGATGAAACAAAGTCAAATGAAATGTAGGTTAAGGTGAAGTTAGAGTGAGTGCTCCCAGACACAAGGGGACATCAGTGAAACGCAGGTTGCCTCCTTTTTACCTCATGAGGTCACAGTTGAGTGTCTGTAGGAACTTCTAGAATCACCAGGTGGTACAGAGTAACAATTAGCTGAAGGTGCTCTCCAGGAAGCACTTCAACTGAAAACACATTTCTGTCTCTTACCAACAAGTGAGGCGGCCTGTTTACGACTGCAGGGTGGGAGCTCTCTCTTGCCAGGCCTGGGATGCTCTTGCTTCTGGAGAAGACCCTTAGATGCTTGTGCAGCCCAAGCAGCCAGTCAGTGGCTGGTAGTCATGACGTAATAAACAGTCGAGAGAGGATGGCTTTCTGGGATATTTGTGACATGGTGAACAGACCTGACCAACTTGTGCCCACAGGAAGCTTTGTGGACTCCAAGCCCGCTCCGCCTCATTCCACACTCTTCCCTGCACAGAGCTAGTCAAGGGCTGGCTATCAACCCAGCTAGAAGTCAGGACACTGCAGGACACGGGAGGCCTAGGCCCGCACTGGTCATACTCACCGAGAAGGGCAGTCCCTCCGGTTGCAGGCGATGGGCTGCACGGCCGGGCGCACCTTCCCTGCGCAGTGAGTGGGGCTGACCTCTGTGCTGTTCAGAAGGCATCTCAGGCGGGGCTGCTGGACACCCCTGTGACCACAGGAAGCTGAGCAGGTGGCCCATCTGTCCACAGACCACCAGTAATCTATCACAGAAGGAGGAGCATGGGGGAAAGACGACAGCATTATAGTCTACCTGTCCTCTGCATTTCTTCTGAGTGGGGTTCGGGGAGGCTGGCCATGAGGGCTGGAAGGGTGGACTGCCCAGTGCCTGGCACACAGAATACTTCATAAATAGCAGTGACGCTTAAGGTTTGTAAACATACGTCCTAAAAGATTTCTTTTTCCTATTGGTTCAATGGACAATATCTCCAGTTTTCTACGAACAGATAAAAATATCTCAGAAATATTGAAACACCATATTTAAACGTGCACGGACAATTGGATTTAGTAGATGTCACCAAAAATCAGCCTGCCCATTTATAGGAGGCAATGAAATAAGTAAGAAATCCAACTGTTTGAGGTTTTCGGTTTGAGGGTCTGGGACTCACTTGAAGGAAAAGTTGTTAAAAATAATTGTGGGCTGTTAAATTTTGAGTGCTTATTTGCAAGGTTGTGTATCATAAACCTTGAAGATAGCCACTGGCTTCTGGTTTCCAGCAGAGGATGGCTTGCTGGCAAGAAAAGGGAACATTTACTTTCCTGTGCAAAGCTCAGTGGCAGGGAGGATGTTCAAGGGAAAAACCTATCTGCTCAGAAAAGTCTCTTGCCTTTTTCCAAAGCAGTATTTCCATATTGGCCCGGACTCAATCCCTTCCACAGAATCTTCTATTTTGGGATACATGAATGGATTTGTTTTCCTTAGAAATAGCACACAACTGTATTTTTACATAAATAGCATGAACATTATGTGTTTTGTAAACCTTGCAACCATCTCACATGTGTGAGTTTCCTGTGAGTGTTATATGCATGTGCACATTATTTACGTGTGTACATTATATATGAAAAACACCAGAGGCCACAGGTAAAGCCACGTTAGGGCAAACTCAAAAGCTTCACATAGTTTCTAAAAAAAGGCAAGTGTTGGGCTCTTTCCCAGACTACTTGGTCTTATGTGCAGCTCTTTCTTGGTGCAATCAATAGCAGGGCCCACCCGATGGCTTTCTGTTCCTAGTAGGTGAAAGCAAGATCCACGAAAGCTCCACAATCTGCTCTCTGACAGGAACACAGATGAGGGGCCTAGAAAGCACTCAGCAGTAACTGTAGCTAGAGACCCTTTCAGGATGGTCAGGCATCACCAGTGTCCTCTCTGTAGGGCAGGAGGCAACAACCAGATGGTTCCGATAGTTTAACCAAATCACCAGAGAAGACGTACATTTTCTTAATAGAATGTGTGTAGATCTTTACTAGTAAAACCAGCATAAAGAAAACACATTGACTTTGATTCTTGGTAGTGAACAGCAGCAATGTTATAAGTGTTGTTATTACATGCTATTGAGTTGGTTCTGACCTACAGTGACCCTGTATAGAGTTCCCAAGGAGAGGCTGGTGAGTTTGAACCACTGACCTTGCGGTTCAAACCGACCTTGCAGTCGGGTTCTATAACCTACAGCGCCACACCAGGACTCCACATGAGTAGAAGTGCCCATTGTTCTGTTTGACGGGGACCTGGTGGCTTCTCTGAAGGGTCATATAGGCAGAAGTGAGGCCTCATGGTATGGAAGCATGGTTTAGCTTTCAATTCTATGCTCGAGATGCCACTGGATAGCAAACATCATTTTGTTCCTCTAGAGGCTTAGATTCCCAGTGACACTCTCCTTTAAGAAGTCAGTCCAAAGCCCCAAGACTGCCAGGATACAGTTTCTTACCTTGGATCACTAGAGAAGTCTTCTGCGTGAACGTCCCTGCCTCATTCTGAGCAAGGCAGCTGAATCCCCCTTGAGCCCCACCACTAAGATTTGCAATCTGAAGAATCTGTCCTTCTGCCAAGATATGATACGTCAGTCCTGTGGCATTGGCAACTGGCTGGCCTCCATGGAACCAGGTGATATTGGGGGTGGGTTGACCTTGGATGGGGCAGCCTAGTAGGAAGAGAGAGAAGAAACGAGTCATTAACAAAGTCCAAATCCACACATTACTGATGAATTGCATTAGTGTCCCTGTGGCTCTTGAAACTATACATCCAATGTGACCTCCACAATGACATTTTTCTTACATTTATCACTCCCAAACAAGAGGTATTTTTATTCTCTGGACTTCTGGGTGGTTGACAATTATTTATTCACTTGAGTAAAAATTCTTAGCAAACGTCCCTGTCCTTAATTTAAAAAATAATGCAATTAATATATACTTATTTAACATTTTAATTCATTCAATCAACAGTCAAGGAACAAGTTAATTGTTTTCTACAAGAATTTTATTACAAAAAAGAGTTTCTTCAAATGCATTATGCTTTGAGGGAAACCCCCACATTATATAGTAATAGGAACAACAAAAAAGCAAACTTTATTTAGTAAAAGTAGAGATAAGGAAAACAATTTAAAACACTGGTTTAATTTCTCTGTAAGTCATGATCTGGTCTTGTTAGCAACTCTTACCTACCTTGCATTGGACATGTACATTATACTTACCCACTATCACTGAATGTATTTTCATATACCCAAGCCTTTATAGTAGAGAATTTGCAGTAGTGAGAGAAAACACATTTCCCCTCAATTCAGAGTGCCTGTTGAATTTGCTGTTGTGCCCTCAGCAACTTAGAACATGAGGTCCAAGGCAGTGGCAATGCATTTAGGTTCTGAGATGGGGGTGGGAATGGCATATGGGAACCAGTTCCTTGGGGAATCTCCTGGGAGCAGTAGTATCACCTTATAACTCCTAATGTACTCCGGATTAAGATTTTGGTTTAATTTCCCAATTCAGGGGGAAAAATATTTAAACATCTAAAAGGATTTCAAAAATGCAGCTTGAAGAAAGTACAGCTTTTCCGACACACGGAGAAAGGCAAGTATATGTCTTCCCATCATGTCGCAGGCACATTATCAGGAGGCACGAGTCCCTGGAGAAGGACATCATGCTAGGTAAAATGGAGGGTCAGTGAAACAGAGGAAGAGCCCAATGACATGGATTGGCCCAGTGTACCGACTGTGAGGATGATGCAGGACCAGCTGCAGTTTTCTGTTGAGGTTGCAGCTGTTTGTGACTTATCTTCAACCAAATTGTACTTGCATGTCATATTAATGAAATCGTTGAGTGATTTCTGCATTTCATTGGGTCATTTCTCTTTGGAATGGGCAAAAATATGGATCCCTTCTAAATTTCTTGGCATAAATGAGTGAATGCTTCTAGTGCTGCATCACTTTGTTGAAAGATTTCAATTTGTATTTCATCAATTCTGGGAACCGTGTTTTTCACCAATGTCTTCAGTGAACCTTGGACTTCTTCTTTTAGTACCATCATCAGTGCTTGATCATATGTGACCTCTTGAAATGGCTGAACATCAGCTATTTCTTTTAGGTACAGTGATTCTGTGGATACCTTCCATCTTCTTTAGATGTTTTCTGTATCACTCAATATTTTCCCCAGAGACTCCTTTAATATTTTGAGTCAAGGTTTGAATCTTTTCTTCATTTCTTTCAGCTTGAGAAATGCTGAGTGTATTTTTTCTTTTGGTTTTCTGACTCTAGGTCTTTGCACATTTCATTATAATACTTTACTTTGCCTTCTTGAGCCACCACTCATCTGTCAGTTTGTCGTACTGTGGTGGCTTGTGTGTTGCTGTGATGCTGGAGGCTATGCCACTGGTATTTTGAGTATCAGTTGATTCACCCATGGTAAACAGGTTTCAGATGAAGACAGACTATGGAGGAGGAGAGGTGGAATACTTCTGAATGTTTAGCCACGGAAAACCTTATCTTGTCAGATACAGTGTCAGAAGATGAGCTCCTCAGGTTAGAAGGAACTCAAAATATGATTGGTGAAGAGCTGCCTCTTCAAAATAGAGTTGACTGTGAAGATGCAAATGGAGTAAAGCTTTTGGAACCTTCATTTACTGATGGGACACAACTCAAAATAAGGAGAAACAGCTGTAAACATCCTTTAGTAATCAGAACATAAAATGTAAAAAGTATGAATCTAGGAAAATTGGAAGTTGTGAAAAATGAAATAGAACACCTAAAGATTGAAATCCTAAGCATTAATGAGATGAAATGGACTTGTATTGGCCATTTTGATTCTGACAATTATATGGTTTACTATTCCTGGAATGACAGATTGAAGAGGAATGGCATCACATACATCGTTAAAAACATTTCAAGTTCAATCTTGAAGTACAATGCTATCTGTGATAGGATAATATCATACACCTACAAGGAAGACCAGTAAAAATCACTATTATTCATATTTACTCACCAACTACTAAAACTAGTGATGATGAAAATGAGAATTCTATGAAATTCTTCAGTCTGAAATTGATCAATCATGCAATCAAGACGTATTGATAATTACTGGTGGTTGGAATGCAAAAGTTGGAAACAAAAGGGAAGGATCAATAGTTGGAAAATATGACTTTGGTGATACAAACAATGCTGGAGATCATATGATAGAATTTTGCAAGACCAATGACTTATTCATTGCAAATGCCTTTTTAAAATAACATAAAAGGCACCTGGATGTCACCAGATGGAATACACAGAAATAAAATTGATTACATCTGTGAAAGAGACAGTGGAAAAGCTCAATATCATCAGCCAAAACAAGGCCAGGGGCTAACGGTGGAACAGATCATCAATTGCTCCTATTCAAGTTCAGACTGAAGTTGAAAAAAATGAAAACAAGTCCATGAGAGCCAAAATACGATCTTGATGATATTTCACCTGAATTTGGAGACCATCTCAAGAACATATGTGATGCTTTAGACATTAACGATTGAAGGCCAGAAGAGTTGTGGGATGACATCAAGAACCCCTTATAGGAAGAAAGCAAAAGGTCATCAAGAAGACACGAAAGAAGGAAAAGACCAAAATGGATGTCAGAAGGGACTATGAAACTTGATCTCCAGCAGAGATACGGTACAGCGAATGGAGGAAAGGAGGAAGTAACAGAGCTGAACAGAACTTGAAGAAAGTTCAGTATGTTTGTTGTTGTGAAGTGCTGTTGAGTCAGTTCCAACCCATAGCGACCTTGAATAGGGTTTCCAAGGAGCAGCTGGTGAGCTTGAACTGCCAACCTTGCAGTTCAAACCGACTTTGCAGTCCAGTGCATTAACCTGTCGCACCTCACTAGGACTCCAGTTCAGTATATAGTACCCAATATTAGAGAGAAAAGAGATAGAAGGAAAATGAACTCGAAGGCCTGTGAGAAATTATTAAAGGGTCTAACATATGTGGAATTGTAGTCCCTGAAGGACAGCACAGAATTAGGCAGAAATATAAAAAAAACTCCATTTTACCAAATTTGCAGGTAACCATAAACTTTTAAATCCAAGTAAGCCAGCAAATAAGCGAGGTACATTATAATATTCCTGAAATTCACAGATTAAAAAAATATATATATATATATTGAAAATAACTAGAAAAAGAGGCTTTCCTGCATATAGGAAAATGATAGAAATCCAACATAATTAATGCCAGTAATGACTTCACATTCTAGTCCTGGTGTGGCACTGCAGGATCAGCCCTGGACTACTACCCACAAGTTTGGCAGTTCAAGCCCACCAGCTGCTCCTTGGAAACCCTAAACAGGATCACTATGAGTCAGAACTGACTCAATGGCACTTAACAACAACAACATAGGAAACCAGAAAATCCAAAAGATAGTGGAAGTATGTCTAGCTAAAATGCTGGGGGAAATAAAACTATGAAACTATAATTCTTATCCAAATAAACGATTCTTTTCTTTTTTTTTTTTTAAATTGTGAATTGAGTGAAAGTTTAGAGGGCAGATCATCAGTTTTATGTTCAACAAATCATATACCATGTTTCATTACAATGATTATAATCTCCTCCATGTATCAGCATTAACAGTGTTTTTCTCTATTCATTTTTGCTTTTTTTTTTTAATGTTTTATTGTGAATTATGTGATAGTTTACATGGAAGACCATTAGCTTTACATTCATCCTATCGTATATTGTTTCATTGCCATGGTTACAATCCCCTCCAGGCATCATCAATCAACCAAAGGGTATACCCTGCAAGCCTGCCCCCAGGTCGTCAGCACACAGCCCCTCTCCCTCTCTGTGTCTAAAGTCCCCAGCCACTCCATCTTTCCACGTCATCGTCTCTGTCTCCATCTCTGGTGTCACTGCTTCTCTGGATAGGGTCCCGTTCACCACTCTTCTGTCTTGATGGCCCCAGGGACCTCCGCTCCTAGACTGCAAAGTTAATCACTCTCCTTCTTGCTACAAAATGTCTATCTTTACATTTCCAACCCTCACAATCAGTCCTGATAACAGTTATTCACTATTGTATCACAAGAGACCTATCTACATTTCCTTTCATCAGCCCCACCATGACAGATTGTATACTACTCAGTGGAGATTCTACCTTCCTCCATGCCCTCTGGATCTAGGTTCCCTCTTGAAAGCTTGTAAGCCAGTCACTTCTTGCCTTTGTAGCCCCCCCCCCCCATTTTGGGTAGCCAATGTCCAAATTGCCCATTCCTGTCTACTCTGTGTATGGAGGGGGTGGGAATGATTCCTGTTGTAAAGATTTGTTGCCTCTTTTGAGCTACTGCTTCCATAGGTGTAGGTCAGGTTCATCAAATTGTATCAGATTATACTCTTTTTTTTCCCCCTCTTCTTTCTTCTTCTAATTGAGCTCTGATCATCCAGTCACTGAAGCCAGATCAAGTATGTATTATCTACAAGTGTGCGTGTTCTTGTGCATATGCCCTCTCTTCTTATTAGCTGGATGCTCCACTCTCCACTCTAGTCCTCTGTGGTTATGTCACTGACTCTGGGCCTAAGTGGTTGCCACACTTGCTGGCCAACCAGGTTTCCACCCAGGAGTCTATTGAACATTGTAGGGCTTAGCTCACAGTTTCATTGCTGTTTTCCCCTTATTGGTGACAAACGTGGTCACC